TGAGAGCGCGGGCTAGTGCTGGCTGGCCGAGATTCGAATCCAGGCTCCCAGTTGATTGTTGTGTGTTAGGATCCTCCTCCGTGAATGAGGATAATAGCCCCCTAGCTCATAAGGCAGATCTTCTCACATGACGTTGCCACCCAGTTTCTCCTCCTAAATTGAAGATCCTGTAAGCATATGTCAGTGGAATACGGGGGTAAGAAGGCAAGATTCAGAACTGTTTGGGGGGAAGGGGTGAGCAGTATTCTAGAAAGAAATATAAAGATGTAACTACTGTGTTTCATGCCTGAGATTGTCTCATTTCATTATATCCTCAGCGCCTGGCACAGTGTGTGAGACATAATTGTCACTCAGTAAATATTTGTTGAATAGCTAAATGCCTTTTTATGTGTGATTTTAAATGCAAACCTATGTAACAAATACCTGTTATGTGTGTGAATATGTACTTGTCTAATAATTTTGATTTTTTTGTTTGTTTCAGGTTCTCTCTCAACAACTGGAAATTGTCTTTGAAGTCTTTGTGACAATTTTCTTTCTGTTTTGACAGGCCAGTTGGAATGCCAAAAATGGAAAAAGTTTACTTACATAATCCTAGTTCTGAGGAAACTATTACTTTAGTATCAATATCTGCTACCACATCACATTTTCATGCATCATTTTTTCAAAATAGGGTAAGTTTGTCTCTATAAATCATTCCTCTTGGGTTTGAAATTGAATTGAAATGTCTACGTTTTCATTGTCTGCAGCAATGGACTCAGACATGGTGAGGATTGTGAGGATGGCACAGGACCAGGCCATGTTTCATTCTGTTGTCCACAGGGTCACTGTGAGTCGGAACTGACTTAACGGCCCCAGCAGCAACATTTGTATTGATAATTTTATTTTGCTGTAGTCAGAACCTGTTTGAATATTTCATATCTGTTCTTGTATTTCACTTTGCCCCACTTTCTAAGAACTATTAGTTCTGGCCTTAAATACACATTGCTTTTCTCAACATGAAACAGCTTTGGAGAATCACTTTTGCAACTGTGAGACCTTAAGCACTCTGAAAAATGTAACATTCTTATATTCAGTTTATTTTCTTTTCCTTCCTATTAACAGGTAATTCTTTAGCATTATATTCATTTTATATTGCTGTGTAACAAATTACCACCAGCTTAATGGCTTAAAACAGTGCCCATTTATTAGCACATGGTTGTGTGAGGTTGTAAGTCTTTTATTTAGCCTAATGCATTTTGTATTCATCCGTGTGGTTAGGTGTCTCCAGTTGCCATTGAGTCAGTTTCAAGGCTCTGGGTGGGATGACAGTAACACACTCGCTGCTAACAGAGAGGTTGGAGGTTCGAGTCCACCCAGAGGAGCCTCCAAAGAAAGGCTTGGCAGTCTACTTCTGAAAAATCAGCCATTGAAAACCCTGTGGAGCACAGTTCTACTCTGACACACTTGGAGTCACCATGAGTCAGAATCAACCTGATGGCCTGGGTTGGTTGGTTGTAGTTAGGTGTGCCAGTGCATTGTACCACTTTATTGCTGGATAGTATGTTGTTACAGGGAGGTACCACTGATTATCCATTTGTCAGTTGAAGGCATTTGGGTTGTTTCCAGTTTTGGATGATTATAACAAAGCCACTATAAATATTCACATACAGATTTTTGTGTGCACATAAATTTTCATTTCCTTTGTGTAAATACTTTGGAGTGGGGTTGCTGGGTCTTCTGCTAAGTGTACATTTAACTGTTTTCTAAGTGACCATGCCATTTTGCGTTCCTACCAGAAATGTACGAGTCGCAGTTGGTTGGCATCTTACCAGAACTTGGTATTGTCATGCTTTTGGTGTTAAGAACTCTTTCCTAACCCAAGATTACAGAGATTTTCTCCAATTTTTCTTCTAGAAGTTTAATAGATATTACATTTAATTCTGTCATCCACTTTTGAGATAAATTTTGTTTATGCTGTGAGGTATGGGTTGAGAGGTTTCGTGTTTTGTTGGGTATTAATAATAGCCCCATTTTGTTCCTGATATTTTTGTCATTTTCTTTTTTTTCTTGGTCATTCTGGCTAGGATTTTATCAGTTTTTTGTTTGTTTTTTTAATTGTGCTTTAGGTGAAAATTTACAGAACAAACTAATTTCCCATTTGATACTTTGTACATAAAGTGTTTCATGACCTTGCTTTTGTTCCCCTCAATGTGTTAGCAGTCTCGTCATTTCTCCCCTGGTTTCCCCATTTTCTTTGTCCTGATTTTCTACCCTATTCTGCCTTCTCATGTTTACTTTTGGGCAGATAATGCCCTTTTGATCTCGTATGATTGATTGTTCTGAGGAGTCTGTTCCTCTCGCGTAATATTGTTTATCTTATGTGCTTGCCTGTTGTTTGGCTGGGAGGTGATCTCTGGGAATGGCTTCCTTTCCGGGTCAGAAGGATGTCTTTGGGCCGGAGTCTCAGGGGTTCCTCCCGTCTCTGTCAGACCACCAAGACTCGTCTTTTTTTGTGAATTTGATTTTTTGTTCTACAATTTTCTCCTTCTCGGTTGTGATCCCAGTCAGAGCAGTTGGTAGTGGTAGCTGGGCGCCGTGTAGTTCTTCTGGTCTCGAGATCATGAAGGCTGTAGTTCTTGTGGTCCTTTAGTCCTTTGGACTAATTGCTCCCTTGAGTCTTTGGTCTCCTTCACCCTCCCTTGCCCCAAACGGGAAGAGCTGCTCACGAGCTTTTAAGACCCCAGACGTTACTCACCAAAGTAGGATGCAGAATGTTGACTTTATGTATTATGTTGTGCCAGTTGATGTAGATGTCCCCTGAATCTATGGTCCTTTGTTTTTGAGCCTGGGAAGTTCATCCCACCAGGTGTTTGGTTATGTCTAAGGTTTCCCTGACAATACTCCTCGTGTGCTCTTTATGAGCCACATCTACTGTCACGTATGTAGAAATGTCCACCACCAAACCTGTATTTGCCAGTGGGTGTGTTCCTTACGTCCTCCCACACCTCTTGGTGCATCTGTCTACCTGTTTGTCCATTCATAAATGATCATTTGTTAATACTGTCATTGCAGGATTGCCCAAACTGGGGTAATTACTGTCGTTGCCCTTTGTTCTCACGTTCTGCTCAGTATCCTCTCCTGCCGTGGTCGTGTTGTGCTGACTTCTCCCATATTATGTATTTCCTTTCCCTTCACCAATATTAACTCGTATCTTCTATCTAATAGATAATTTTCTCTCCCTCCCCCTCTCATCCCTGGTAACCATCAAAAAATGTTTTTTTCGTTTTTTTCTGTGTGTAAACCTTTTGTTCTTACTTTGTAGTAGTGATCTCATGCAATATTTGTCCTTTTATGATTGACTTATTTCACTCAGCATAATGTCCTCCAGAGTCATCCATGTTGTGAAACGTTTGACGGATTCATCATTATTCTTTGTTGTTGTATAATATCCCGTTGTGTGTATGTACCACCGTTTGTTGATCGATCCAGCTGACATTGTTTCCATCTTTCTGCCATTGTGAACAGTGCTGCAGTGAACGTGGGTGTGCATATGTCTATTTGTGTCACGGCTTTTATTTCTTTAGGGTACATACCAATGAGTGGGATTGATGGGTCATATGGTATTTCTGTCTCTAGCTTTTCAAGAAAGCACCATACCGTTTTCCAAGGTGGTTGTACCAGTCTACATTCCTACCAACAGTGTATAAGAGTTTGAATCTCCCCACAACTACGCTAACATTTGTTATTTTCTGTTTTTTTGATTAGTGCTAGTAATGTTGGGGTAAGATGGTATCTCATTATAGTTTTGATTTGCATCTCTCTAATAGCTAATGATTGGGAGCATTTCTTCATATGTTAGCTGCCTGAATGTCTTCTTTGGTAAAGTGTCTGTTCATTTCATTTGCCCATTTTTTAATTGGATTGTCTTTTTATTGTTGAGATGTTGAAGTTTCCTGTAAATTCTAGGAATTAGTCCCTTGTCAGGTATATCGTAGCCAAAATTTTTTTCCTAGTCTGTAGGTTCTCTTTTGACTCTTTTGGAGAAGTCTTTTGTGGAGTGTGTTTAATTTTTTTTTTTTTTTTTTTTTTTTGGTAGGTCCCATTTATCTAGTTCCTCTTGTGCTGTGTCTGCATTTTTAGTTATGTTTGGTATTTTATTTATGCCATATATTAGGGGCCCTAGCATTGTCCCTGTGGAGCCTTGGTGGTGCAGTGGTTAAGAGCTCCAGCTGCTAACCAAAAGGTTGGTGGTTTGAATCCACCAGCCACTCCTTGGAAATCCTATGGGGCAGTTCTGCTCTGTCCTATAGGGTCACTGTGAGTCAGAATTGACTCAGCGGCAGTGAGTTAGCATTGTCCCTACTTTTTCCTACATGATCTTTATAGTTTGAGGTTTTATATTTAGGCCTTTGATCTAATTTTAGTTAGTTTTTGTATATGGTGTGAGGTATGGGTGGATTTTATCAGTTTTATAGACCTTTTTGGGCCCTGGTGACACAGTGGTTAAAGCATCCAGCTGCTAACTGAAAGTTCAAACCACCAGCCACTCTGTGGGAGAAAGACGTGGCAGTCTGCTTCCGTGAGGATTTATAGCCTAGGAAGCCCTACGGAGTAGTTCTACTCTATCCTGTACGGTCGCTATGAGTTGGAATCGACTCAATGGCAGTGGGTTTAGTTTGATGGGATAGACCTTTGTGAAGCACCAGCTTTTTGGTTTTTGTTATTTTTCTGTTTTCTATTTCATCCATTTCTGTTCTAATCTTTATTATTTTCTTAGTTTTATTTGCTTTGGGTTTAATTTACTTGTTTTCTAGTTTCTTAAAATGGAAATATAGATTATTGCTTTGAGATATTTTCTTTTCTAAATACACATTTAACACTGCACATTTCCCTCTACCTATTGCTTTTGCTGCATCTGCAGATTTTAATATGTTGTATTTTCATTTTCAGTCACTTAAAAATATTTTCTGATTTCCCTTTGCAACTACTTCTTTGACCCAAGGGTTATTTAAAACTGTATTGTTTAATTTAAAACTATTTGGGGATTTTCCATATATCTTTCTATTGTTAATACTTGTTCTCTTTTCCATTTGTTGTTTGTCTTTTTCTTCTCTTTCTGTCTTAATTTTATTGTGGTTAGAGAACATATTTGTATAATTTCAGTTTAAAATTTGTTAAGGTTTATTTTATGGCCTAGAGTGTAATCTGTCTTAGTCAGAGCCCCATGTGCACTTTGAAAAGTTCCATGTGTTCTTTGTTGTCTGGGGTGTTCTATAAACGTTAATTAGATCAAGTTGGTGGATAGTATACTTTAGATTTTCTATATCAAGGATCGATAAACTACAGGCCACAGGTAAAATCTGGTCCTCAGCCTGTTTTTATACAGCCCATAAACTAAGAATGTTTTTTACATTTTTTGTTAGGTGCCGTCAAGTCAGTCAGTTCCGACACATAGCGACCTGGGCATAACAGAACAAAACACTGCCCAGTCCTGTCCGTCGTCGCAGTTGTTGTTATGCCTGAGCCCATTGTTGCAGCCACTGTGTCAGTCCATCTCCTTGAGGGTTTTCCTCTTTTTTACTGACCCTCTACTTTACCAAGCACGATGGCCTTCTCCAGGGACTGGTCTCCCCTGATAACCTGTCCAAAGTACATGAGACAAAGTCTCGCCATTCTCCTTTCTAAGAAGCATTCTGGCTGTACTTCTTCCAAGACAGATTTGTTCATTCTTCTGGCATTCCATGGTATTTTCAATATTCTTCACCAACACCACAATTCAAATGTTTCAGTTCTTCAGTCTTCTTTATTCATTGTCTAGCTTTCACATGCTTATGAGGCAATTGAAAATACCATGGCTTGGGTCAGGCACACCTTAGTCCTCAAAGTGACGCTTCGCTTTTTAACACTTTAAAGAGATCTTTTGCAGCAGATTTGCCCAATGCAATGCATTGTTTGATTTCTTGACTACTGCTTCCATGGATGTTGATTGTGGATCCAAGTAAAATGAATTCCTTGACAACTTCAGTCTTTTCTCCGTTTATCATGATGTTGCGTATTGGTCCAGTTGTGAGGATTTTTGTTTTCTTTATGTTGAGGTGTAATCCATAATGAAGGCTGTGGTCTTTGATCTTTATCAGTAAGTACTTCAAGTCCTCTTCACTTTCAGCAAGCAAGATTGGGTCATCTGCATATCACAGGTTGTTAACGAGTCTTCCTCCAATCCTGATGCCCCTTTCTTCTTCATATAGTCCAGCTTCTTGGATTATTTGCTCAGCATAATGATTGAATAAATATGTTGAAAGGACACAACCCTGACACACACCTTTCCTGATTTTAAACCACGCAGTAGTCCTTTGTTTTGTTCCAATGACTGCCTCTTGGTGAATGTACAGGTTCTGCATGAGCACAGTTAATTCCCATTCTTTGCAATGTTACCCGTAATTTGTTATGATCCACACAATCCAGTGCCTTTGCATAGTCAATAAAACAGATAAACATTCTTCTGGTATTCTCTGTTTCCACCTGTGCTCAGAATCCAACAGGCAAGAAATTCTGTTGCTGTGCAACGCGTATGCTGCCCTTGCTTTCTAAGAGGGAGATTAAGTTTGTAGCAGGGCTTCAACCCATAATTTTTCCTGTTCCAGTTATTGTTCCGGTTCACCCAAATTTTAAAAATTTGAGTCTCTTCTGGTGACGCTTCCTCAGCCATGATGAACCAGGCAGAACCAGTTTGAAGCCGTGGTCTCAGTGCTGTGTATTTTGTGCTACAGTTTGGGAATCAGTTTAGAGTTCTAGCTATGGAGGCAGAATGAGAGAGGTTGAGGACCTTATATATTAAGATGGATTCTAAGGCTTCATTGAAACCAGAACTTTCTGACTGGTAAAATTCACATCTCTTGAACTACATGGAGCATTCCTCTTGTCTCATCATAATAAATTTTTATTTCGTTACCATAGCAGCATTCTCAGTCTGCTCAAGATAACAGGTGGGTTCCCACCCGTACAGTCTCCCCTGCCTTCTTTCCTTGTTTAAGTTGTGGGGACATTTCGTGTTGTCTTTCCTGTGCAGATGGGGAGGAGAGGTTGAGGCCTGGACTTATCTTCTCCAAGGAGCTGCCTGCTCATAGATTAGTACGCCTACATGAAAACCTCACCTTCAGCCCAACTCCAGCCTGATTAGGCATTTCATTTGAGCCTAGCAATTGTTCAATGAACAGAGTCCAAAGATACCATTTGTTGTACAGGGTTTAGGTGGTAATTGACAAAGATAAGTGACTGTAGACATCCAGCCGGTAGGAATTATTCCCCATTGCACAGTGGTTTGGCTGATTTAAACTTAAACCTTTAGGGGAAAATGACCAGTTTATGGAAATGATTTTAACATTTGTTTTAGAAAACTTTAGCTGTCTGATTTTGGTGAACATGATCTGATTTTTTGGCTGCCAATTTGACTTTATTTGTTGCTTTTCTTTTTCAGAAAATTCTTCCAGGAGGAAATACATCATTTGATGTTGTTTTTCTCGCGAGAGTCGTGGGGAATGTAGAAAATACTTTATTTATTAACACATCTAATCATGGGGTGTTTACTTACCAGGTAAGAACCAGAAGAAAAGCCTTTGTGTATTTCATAAACCGTAGTCATCATCTGAGACCTGCAGTGTGACATCCTTGTGAGAACTCAGTTCAGAAACTCGGGAGGTAATAAAAGAATGAATACCTAAGCGTTTAGACTTAGAGCCTCCTCCTGCTGACTGCTGTCTGCGAATGCCCCTGTTCAAATCAGAACCTGAACAAATGGTATTAAAGCTGCGGCTAAAGTGTTGACATAGGTTTGGGTGGCAAAAGAATAGTAAGAACTTTTTTTTGCTGGCTTTTAAAGTGTTTTTAATTTTCACTTTTTACACACTTAGGAAGCATACTGGATAATGATTTCAAAATTAAAATGTACGTGCATGCTTTTCTTTAGTAAATACCATATTGTTTAAAATTTTGGATAAACCTTTTTTTTTAACATAGAATCATTGTTTAGATTATTAAAGGAAGTTGACGTTTGTAGGAATCATAGACTAAATCTTTTTTATGTATCAGCCATCTTTCTGTTTTATGAATCAAGATATTTCTACATCAAGGTTATCAATATCATTAAGAAGAAGAATTATTTATATTTGTCTGGCAGTATACTAAGCCCTTTACATGCATTTAATTCTCACAACTGCTGTCTGAGTTATAGATAGTGTTATTTTCATTTTTCTTTTTTTTTTAGAAAGGAAGCCCAAATCACACTAGTAGGAAGTTGCTGAGTGGGGACTTGGTCCTAAGTCTTTGTAACTACAAAGACCATACTCTTAACGTCTGTACACCCATAAAACTCAATTCTTTAAAACCTTACGTAGCTAATTTCTTATTTTATAGTGTTTAAGGTTTTTGTTTGTTTTAACATTTCCTCTGCAGTGTCCAGAACACTTCATATATTTTGAAAGTAAGTGTCTAAGTAAACATTTCATATCATTCAGTCTCCATGTCTTGTGTTTACTCATGGTGAATAAGGCTTCAACGATTGTCCAGGAGACAGTCAGCAAACTTTTGATGCCTGAACTCCCTCTCAGGGCTGGCTTTTTATCATCCTTCAGATAATGTCAGCTCATGTCACCACCTCAGAGGAAACTACCCTGACCACCTTACCTCCAGTAGTATCCCCAGCCTCAACGCTGACCCGTTAATTTGTGTCAGGTCACACTTCTTTTCTACGTTTTCATTGGTAGCTGGTCTGTCCAGCATACTGGAACGTAAATTCCCGGGGAGCAGGCATGTTTTCTGTCTGATGGACTGTTGAGTTGCTCCCTGCTGTATGTCTCTGTACCTAGCATATTGTAGGCGCTCAGACGTTTACCGTTTGAGGGACTAGTTCACACTATCCTGCTCAGTCTCCTCAGAGCCTGCCCGTGGAAATGACCGGGGCTGGGCTCGGTGTTTTAGAGAGGTTGTCTGGGCCTGAGGTCCCATCTCCTGACGGTAGGGCGAAGGGAAACCATCTTTTGATTCCCTCCCCCCCCCCCCTTTTATTTGCTTGGTCTATTGCATGACTTCATAAAGGGCTACGGTCATTTTAATTTTCAGTGTATTATAGAATTCACTGCAACTGCAAATATATATAGTAAATCAAATATGTAACCAAATCAAGTACAGAAACTGGATGTGTGGGCTTTTTTTTTTAAAGATTGATAAGATTTTCCCATCTAAATTAGATAACCAGTCTCCCTAAATCTATCAGCATTATAACTATAAAAGTATTAGTTGTAAAAGCAACTCAAATTGCAATTTTTTTCCTCCATTGAAACAGGTATTTGGTGTTGGAGTTCCAAATCCCTATCGACTAAGGCCATTTCTTGGGGCCAGAGTCCCTGTGAATAGCAGTTTCTCACCCATAATAAACATACACAATCCTCACAGTGAGCCTTTACAGGTGAGCTTCTGATTGTGACTGTGAATGAGCCGAACGAATTTGGTGGCGATTAATGCTTAGCATGAAATCTCAGTTTGTTACGGTTTTCAACACTATTTAAAATGAGTTTTAAGGCAATGTACTGTAGCTGTATTAAAGAGGGGTATTAATGTTGATACAGCTTACTGTGGTCTGAATTTTGGACTTGTTTTTGGAATAATTTTTAAAGTAACTGTAGCTTATCTGGTGTTGCAGTTTAGGCAGCTCTGCATTTAATGGAAGAACAGTTTTCAAGTACGGAGACTGCCATTTTTCTAACTGTAAGCTCCTTCTGGCCGAGTGTAGATAAAAGCAGTTCTTGTGTTTTCCTGATAATAATAAATTTTCCATGATGGCAGCATAGAAATTAAAATCCAAAGGAGAGATAATATAGAATCATGATAAAGAACAAACTTTTTTTATTTAAAAAAAAAAAAAAGCAACTCTTTATCTTACCCAATCTTGGGATTCTCCCCAATAGTTGGCTGACATTGGAAGAGTATAAAAATCCATCGCCGTTGAGTCGATTCCAACTCATAGTGACTCTATAGGACAGAGTAGAACTGCCCCATCGGGTTTCCACGGAGCAGCTGGTAGATTCGAACTCCCGACCCTTTGGTTAGCAGCCGAGCTCTTAACCACTGCGTCACCAAGGCTCCAGCGTCTTTATAAACACATGTAATTTAATAAAATATAAAACAAGAATCTAAAATTTGAGAGAGCTTGGCATCTTCCTGGTTAACAGCTGTATGTGGGTAGATGAGGAACAGGGTGGAAATAGAAACAATAGCCCATCATTACCTTGAGAGGATAGCTACTAATAAAAATATTCTGTCCAAATTTTAATTTCTTTAGATATTTTCATCACAGAAGAGGAAAAGGCTCTTGTGTCCAGCTTTTAGACATGGAAGGGTTGCATAAACTCCTCTTTATGTTTCCTGTTCATTATTACTTTGTCCTTTATATGTTGTTGCTACCTTAGGTAACGGTGCATTGGCCCTGCTCTGGCTAACCTTTATTACAAAGCTCTGCAGAAACCTCACAAATCTTGCTGCTTTCTTTCTCTGACTGTTTTCAGTCAAAGAAATAAAAAAAAATGGTCCTTTCATTCTGCCGGAGCCTGCTGAGTGACCGGCCACAAGCTGCTCTGAGTGTTACAGAGCACCCCGTGCGAGGCTCTGGCTCTGTGGTTGTCGGAACCACAGCCCAGGAAGCCGGCTTCCTGTGTGGAAGGATGGAGGTCACAGGTCTGCAGCGCTGGTCATTCCACACGTGTTTAACAAGACTTCCAGTCTGTCTTTGCTCCTCAGCCTCTGGGGTTGTCAAGCCATCATCCAGAATAAAGCTATCTCCTTGAATTCAGTCTTTTTTTCCTTTTGTTCATCAAGTCTTTTTCTAGTTACAACGTTTTTATCCAAGAAGATTTGTCTCCCTCTCAGAACCAATGTAGATGGTTCATCTTGAAGGCACTTAGTGTTACACTGGGGCGTCAGTTTTGTTTTCCCTTACGTTTTCCTGCTTTTTGATGTTTTCTTAAATTTATCTGATTTCTTCATTATACAACGCAAGCACGTGAGTATGTTCTCACTGAACAAAACGTTAGCAGTTCCAGCAGACGTGAAGCAGAAGTCCCCTTGTGCTTCCTACTTTCCCATCCAGTGCTGCCCAGCAGAACTTCCTGGGATGATGGAAGTGTTCCGTATCTCTGCTGCCCAGTACAGTGGCCACTAGGCACATGTGGTCGCTGAGCACTTGAAATGTGACTATGGTGGCTGAGCAAATGAACGTTTAATTTTATTTCAATTAATTTAAATTTAAATAACCACGTGTAGCTGTTGGCTGTTGTATTAGATAGCATACTTCAACCCCAAGCCTTTCTTCATAGATTCCACTCGGTGTATGTCACTTCATACTTTTTTCTATGCATTGCATGCGTGTGTGTGCACACAGAAATAGACATTTTATCTTACGGGAGTATTTTTTACATAGATGTTATTGTGTATGTATTATTGTATAGTTTCCTTTTTATTTTTTCCTAAAGCATTTTAAATTACAGCAGATAACACTGCACTAAAAATTAACACTATCATACTTCCAGTTTTAATGTAACCTTTCTTCTGATTTTATAATTTAGCCTTTTTCTGTCCCCATTTCCTTATTCTTTTTTTCTGTTAATCAGTAGCCTACCTTTTCATCTTTTGTTTCCAAGCATTATTATGCTTGTTTCTTTGACACCTTGAAAGATTAAATTAAATAATGTGATACTTTCCAGTTTTAGGATGTTATTAACACAACAGGTAACATATAAGAGCACTGTAATAAGTTGGTAAGCAAGTAGTAATACTCAGAGTCTTTGTTAAATACATTACTTTAACAAGAACACACACACAAACTCTATAAGCCTATGCTACAAAGTATTGCCATTTTTCCTGCTTTGTCCTTTCTTATTTGTTCCTAGCGTGCCTTTGCGATACAACAAGTGAAGGTTTTCCACCTATTCGCTGACTTCCCCCCAAATTTGCACTTAATTAAATATATTATTTCTTTTTGAGAGATGGGGTTACCTCCCTTAAAATGGAAGTCTTCTCCGCCATATGACCCATTTTGTTCCTAGGTACTTACCCAAGAGAAACGGAAGCAGATGTTCCCACAAAGACTTGTACACGGTGTTCTTAGCTATTATTTATAATAGCCCCAAACTGGAATCAACTCAAATGCCCATCAGTAGGTGAATGGAAAAAAAATTGGGTATAGCCATGAAATAGCAAAAGAATGAACTATTAATACATACACCATGGACGCATCTATAAATAGTCATCCTGAGTCAAAGAAGCCAGACAAAAAGAGTGCATACTGTATGGTTCCGTTTATATAAAACTCTAGAAAATACGAACTAACGTACAGTGGCAGAGAGCAGACCAGTGGTTGCCTAGGCTGGAAGGGGGACAGATGGATTACAAAGTACCATGAGGACGCTTTTGGGCGTAATGGATTTATTCATTATCTTAATTGTATCTTAGTTATTTTAATCTAGGTTCAGTTGAAACTCATCAAGCTGTAAATTTTAACTATGTGTAGTTTCTTATATATCAATTATACCTCAGTAAAATTATTTTAAAAGTCATGAGTATAGGCACAAACCACAGAGGTGTTAACAGTACCCATGATTTTGCCACCAGTGGAAACCGGATATTTTCATACTGCTTTATAATGGTTACATGTGTCTCAGAATAATATGTATGCTCATCACTATTGCAAAATTACTGTAATTAGACTCATTGCTATAGATCTTGTTATAAATGTATGAATAATAAAACACTTGTATTACTATAAATAATGCAAATGTTATATCTAGTATTTGGTAATTTCCATAAAGTATTTCCTTTGGAGAAAAGAAAAACAAGCGTCCTGTAGATGGATTTTCTAAAATCCAGTCTCTGAAACCACTCTGAAACATTGTTTCTAAGTTTAGTATTTCACAGTTACCTTGTTTTAATTAAAAATACCACAGTTGCTTACACATATGGGGCATAGAATCTAGTGATATGACATGATAATGATCCTCCATTTGTATCTGTACATTTTTAGTTTCTACAATTAGGATGTCAAGCATAACAGCATGTCACTTGCATTGAGGGTATGGTTTTGAACTTAGCCATCATACCCCCTTTTGTCACAGGTTGTAGAAATGTACTCCAGTGGAGGAGATCTTCACCTGGAACTTCCCACAGGTCAGCAAGGAGGTACCAGAAAACTGTGGGTGAGTGCGGTCAGATGTGTCTCTCCTGTGTGGTCACGGAAACTAATTACTTTCTAAAATACGCCAGAAAATACCTAACTACTTACCTCCTGAAGAAATGTGGATGGCTTTTTCTTTAATTACTGTCTTAATGTTAAACTTGTATTAAGTATTTTTGAAAGTTGATTGAGAGAGTAAGAGATGTATAAGGAATAATTATTGGAAAGAGCAGTGAACAAAATTAGCAGGAGCTTTAACCCACTGTGTGGAAAGGAAGCAATTTCATCTGCTTTTTCTCAGAATTATATTGGTAAAGTTGCCTCGGAGCCTAATCATTTACAACGTGCTTTATACTAAGATCTTTTTCTTTTTTAGCTGTTGAAAGGATCTATTATTTTTTTTTTCTAAATTTTATCTATTTTGTTGTTGTTGTTGAGAATATACACAGCAGAACACACACCAATTCAACAGTTTCTGCGTGCACAATTCAGTGACATTGATTACATTCTTCAAGTTGTGCAACCGTTCTCATCCCCCTCTTCTAAGTTGCTCCTCCCTCGTTAACATAAACTCCCTGCCCCCTAAGGTTCCTATCTAATCTTTCAAGTTGCTGTTATCCATTTGATACCATATATATAGTTCTTAAAAGAACATAATGCTCAAGGCAGGCCTTTCTTACTAGTTAAGCTAAACTGTTGTTCGATTTTAAGATGACGGATCCGTTATATTTTTGAAGGTAGAGAATTGGAAGTTGAAACTTGTTATGCATAGAGATAATGGTATTTGCAGAGGGAGCCTAGTCAAGCATCTGTGATGAGTGAAAAAATTTTAAATTCTTAGGTGATCGACATTACAGGTGAAACGTCCACCTTGAACATCGTTGAATACTTAAGAACGGTCCGTGTCTGTGATCGGAGAACCATTTTCTCTTGGAGAATACTAGCAAATATTAATCAAATTAATGAGTATGTAGCAACACCATGATCCCTGCCATCTGAGAGGATTTTTGTTTTTTTAAATATTGTCAACCATGCTTTAATCAGAGGGGAAAGGCAGTTGTGATAAATGCAAGTCTTGAACCAAGGCCACTCAAATCACTGCTCACCCATAACTGGGAAAAAGAAACACTGGCTTTACCGCTGTGAATAAGCTATGAGCATAAGAGTTTCTTTATTAATTGCTCTGTTACACACACACACACACACAGAGACACACACTGATTGTGTCTTCTGACCAGCCTCAACCAGGAGAGGATTATGTGGATGTGACACTGCTAGGGTGTTGATTTGAACATTTACAAACAGGTTTGTCAGTGGTTTGGTTAATTCCCAAGACACAGAAATGCACTAGCAAGTAGAAATATGTAATGGATGATCCATTTATATCCTTTCACAGAAGTGTTTTTCTTTCGTTTTACCTTGAAGCTGTTTTCTTGTTTGAAAAGCCTTTAGAAGAACTAGTGTTTAAAGCAGTGTTTCAGTGGATTAAACACAAGCTATTAAATTCATATTAAAATTCTAGATAGGAGAGCCAAGAATTTACTATGAAATATAATTGGCATCTAATAAACATAGAGAATTCAAACTTCTGGACAATTAAGAACTGTAATGAACTGTAGCAGAGAGTGGCATAATATTTTAATACACTCAGTAGCTAAAAAAAAAAAAAAAGATATAGTAATTTTTATTCCTATAAATGTAGAATGAAAAAAAAAAAATCAGTTGGCCTTTGATCCTGCCCCCGGCCCATTTCAGTATACATGAGAAGACCCCAGAGACTGATTTAGCCCCCTGGAGTCAGGAAGATGGGTTGTCCATGTCTGTAGACCCCAAAACCAAAGCACCAAGAACTCACTGCCGTAGAGTCGATTCTGACTCATAGCGACCCCATAGGGTTTCCAAGGCTGTAAATCTCTACAGAAGCAGACTGCCACATGTTTCTCCCAAAGAGCCGCTGGTGGTGTCAAACTGCTGACCTTTAAATTAGCAGTCAAGCACCTTAACCACTGCGCCACCACGGAGAATTCCAATTGCCCGTTTCCTACTCTGAGACTAAAAAGTTAGAAAAACAGAGATGAATGAAGTAAGTTACAGAACACAGGAAATTTCCTAAATTATGCCAGAAAGATGTATGCAGAGAAAATTCTGGTGGTTCCAGGGAATCCAGATTATTCTAAAACGTAGAAAAGAATTACATCTCTTTGTTCAGCTAGAATTGAGTTTCTGTTCATGGGATGGAGAATACGGCAATCGATGTTGGTGATGGTTGCACAACATGATTGCTGTAACTGGTTTCATTGAATTACACGTGCGAAGAGTGTTGAACTGGCAAGGTTTGTGTCACCTGTATGTTTACAACAATTTTTTAAAAATTCAGAGTCTTCCTTCTAGAGTCTGTGTAAGTGATCTCTCATTACAGGCCTGAGAATGTATTCTGAGTTACATGGTCAGAGCCTCGCTGAATGCAGTTGGCTGTAGATTTGCTTAGAAAGCTTTGTCTTGTTTTGTTAGGTTTTGAATGAAACAAAGGCAGAATCTAAGCCCCTTTAGCTATCACCTGGAGAGGTCCCTGTGGACTGCTGGAGAGCGTTTCCCTCTAGCGGTGACATTCCTGTCAGTTAGCGAATGTGAGGACTGAATTATATACCCAAGCACCTCCGACACATTAAATAACCGATTGTGTAGATTGGCCCTAACTTTTAATGGTGATTTTGCAAGTGATATTTTGTTTCCACATAATTTGATTCCTTTACTTTGCTTACTTTATATACCATATTTCATCAGTTCTAAGATGCACAGTTTTTCACATTTTAACATTCTCCAAAATTGGAGTTCATGTTACAGTCAGTGGAATGTATCTGTTTAATTGGCTATTTTCTTTTTAATAAAAAAACAAACAAACAAACCCATTGCTGTTAAGTGGACTCTGACTCATAGTGACCCTATAGAACAGAGTAGAGCCGCCCCATAGGGTTTCCAAGGAACGACTGGTGGATTTGAACTGCCGACCTTTTGGGAAATAGCTCTTACCCACTGAATAAAATAATAATGCATGTTTCAATTCATGGCGTATTATTCAATAAAATATGGTGATTTTGGCGCATTACAAAGGCCATGTTTCTTGTCAGGAAATTCCACCTTATGAAACCAAAGGAGTGATGAGAGCCAGTTTCTCATCTCGAGAAGCCGACAACCACACAGCCTTCATACGAATCAAGACAAACGCTTCAGATGGCACGGAGTACATCATCCTTCCCGTGGAGGTCGAAGTTACCACAGGTTCGTGCAAGACGCAAGGAGCTGTAGGCATTTCTTTCTTTTTTTTTTTTTTTTTTGGTACATCTTGCTCTGGCAAAGCGAAATATAATTGTTCACTTTTCTTTTTTCCAAGCTCCTGGAATTTATTCTTCAACCGAAATGTTAGATTTTGGTACACTACGAACACAAGGTAAAAAAAAAATAGAGTCTTAGGTGTTTAAAAAGAATCCCTGTACTCAGTGCTGAATGGCTCTATTTTAGCTACTTCGTAATTCAGCTTTAAAAGTGATTTCTCTGTGGGTTTTATGATGTTCTAGAAATTTCCTTTGGAAACTCAGAACCTTTACAGTTCACACCTGTTTCTCTGAGAGGTACCAGTGCTAGCTGTTGGTTTTCATCGAGTCAGTTCAGACCCTGGAGAAGCCCTGTGTGCAGAGTAGAACCGTGCTCCATAGCATATTCACGGCTGTGACCTTTGGGAAACAGATCGCCAGCCCGTCTTCCGAGGCGCCTCTGGGTGGGTTTAAACGGCCACCCTTTCGGCGAGTGAAGTGCCTAACCACGTGTGCCACCAGTGACTCCTTGCTCACCACACGGAACACGAGGTCATGGGATAGTGTCAGTGATGTTTTCCCAGTGGAAGATTAAGGCGGAAGTAGTTCCCAAGTTTCTTAATCCAGTTCCTCAACTATTCAGTAATGCTGAATCTTTTTTTAAATGGTAAAATAAAAGAAACCAAAAGATTTACTTACTTAGAGCTTTTTATTTAGAAATTGATTACTGCATTATAAAGAGTTAATGTTAAAAATTTGTCCCAGATAGTGAAAGGCAAAATTCAGCAAATTTTGACATTAAAAATAACCAAGCAGAGGTTTTTCTTTTCTTTTCTTTTCTTTTTTTTTTTAATTGTACTTCAGGTGAAGGCTTACAGAACAAATAGTTTCTCATGAAACAGAAGTACACATGGTGTTTTATGACATTGGTTAACAACCCCACAACATATCAACCCTCTAACTTCTCAACCTAATTTTTTTTTTGGTGAAAATACACATAGCCAAAGATACACCCTTTCAAAAATTTCTACATGCACAGTTCAGTGACATTGACTATGCTCTTCCAATTGTGCTGTTATTCTCACTTAAGATGAAGGCTTACAGA